AGAAAACAAAAAGGCAGGGAGTGCGCCATAGCTCTAGTCTCCTTTCCACTGGAGTATTGGCTCACAGTGGAACCTGCTTAGGAGATGTGTAGTCCTGGACTCCCATGCTTACTCAAAGCATTAAGACAGGGATCCTGAAAGCTGAGAACACTGCTTTGGCCAAGCTCCACTAGAGCAGCACTCACAGGCTGAGGGTCAAAATTGGCTTCGCCCCACTCACTGGATCCACACACTCAGAGCAAGGAGAGGTTATACCACAAACGCACTGATTGTATGTAGAGAAGGGGCGACGGCTCTGGCACAGATGGGAGTCGTGATCCTATGCATGAATCCCTTTCTGGAGGAGGTACATTCTAAAGAGCAGGAGCCATGTGCCCTTCACTCAGCTATTAGAATATCACCCTTGTTCACTTGCAAAGTTAGTGTGTTTAACGGGATCTTGGGAGTTGGAAGCTGAAGCTGACTTCCAAAGAAAAGATACCAAAGGCATCCTACCCTACAGCTATCAAAGAAATGGACCTAGAGGCAAAGAACTCTACTAGGCCTGGTTCACCCAAAATACCAGGCTTTAGTACCCACCATTTTTCTCTACCCAGTCTTAAAACTTCTGTTAACAACTTGGTTTTATGGGACATAGAAAACCAAATTGGAACTAACACAAAAACTTCATTCCTGCTAGCTAGTTTTCATAGTGCCAAAAGTTGATACACATGCTACTGTAGGAGAAAAATCATCAGCGGTATTACACATACTACAATACTGGCCTGCCAAGTAAGATGTGTCCACTGGCCCAATGGGAGCACACAGGTTATAAAGATAACCAACTAGATTAAAGATCTGCTCCAAAGGAGGGAATTCATGCTTGTTACCGTAAACAAGATCTAAAGTTTAGGAGGTCTTGAGCCCTTCCGTTTTGCTAAATCATATGTTGTCAAACTGCCTTCTAACTGTTTGTGTTTGGGGATTTTTTGGTGTGGGTTTTTATTGTTGTTGGTGGTGTTTTTGGTTTTTGTTTTGCTGTTGTTAGGTTGATTGGTTTGGGTTTTTGTTTTGTTTTGTTTTGTTTTTGAGACAGGTTTCTCAGAGTAGCTCTAGCTGTCCTGGAACTTACTCTGTAGACCAGGCTGGACTCACAGAGATCCACCTGCCTCTGCCTCCTGAGTGCTGGGAGTAAAGGTGTGCACCACCACCCCCAGCTTATGTTTAAGGTTTTACCCACAGATTGGTGCTGCTCTCGACCTTGGCCAGAGATGCTGCTTCTGCAGTGGGCAGCAATTAATGCAGAGACTCACAACTAGCCCAAGTGCTGAGAATAGGTGGCAACATTGAATGGAGCATCTGTATCATACCCCACCCACCCACACACACACACACAAGGTTCAGGAAACATCAAGGAGAGGGAAGGAAAAGAATATAAGAGCCCTGGAGTTGAGAGATCATATATTGCTCTTCCAGAGGACTGGAGTTCAGTTCCCAGCCCAGCACCCACATCAGGAGGTTCACAAGTACCTGTAACTCCAGCTGCAGGGATCCAGCTCCACCTTCCAGCCTCTATGGGCACCCATGCAGGCATGGTATACATACACAAATAAATTAAAAACTAATATATATTTTAAAATAAAAAATAAATATAACAACCAGAGGATGGAGAGGAGTGCTATGAAATACTATCTACTGGATGTGACATGGCCACTGTATTCGTGAACTGCTGCAGCAAGGATGCCCTATGAAAGAGTTAAGCCAAGATCTAGCAACATTCTAAACAGGCAGCATTAATTGGACACAGTGGATTACAAAAAGGAGGCGGGGCCGTGAAAGGGAAGGTGTTTGGGGAGTGTGGAAGAGAGTTGGGGATTGATATAAAAGATACATCATTTATATGTATAAAGCTGTTAAAAGATAAATAAGAGATCTTTAAAAAATTCTGTTAACAGGGAACAGCCTGGGACCCAAGTGCCCTTCCCTTCAAGCAGACTGGATAGGCTCAGTTATTGTGTATGCTTTCTGACTTCTCTTTCATCTTTTCTTTAAAACAATGGGTTTTTTGTTTGTTTGTTTGTTTGTTTGTTTGTTTGGAACGGACTAAAAGGGAGGGCTCATATAGTCCAGGCTAGCCTTAAACTTGCTATGTAGGCAAAACTAATCTTGAACTCCTGACCCTCCTTCCTAACTTCCCTCATGGGTTTCTGTGTGCCCCACCATGCCTGGCCTTTCCTGTACAATTGTAACCCTGCTACGGGAGAGGCAGAGTCTCAAATACATCTATTTTCACTTACCAGTTCCTATGGTAAATTTCTTTGGGATACAAGAAACCTGAGATGAAAACTTTGAGCACAGTGCCTGGTAGTAACACTTTGAGCCTGTAGAGGTACAGGTCAGGGACAATAGTGTTTCTTGTCTACTAGATGTAGCACCATTGTCTGAATCAAAAGGCTGCCCTGCAGCTGGGGTAGTCACATACTCAAAAACAGACGTCTGGAAACTTGGCAGATACAGTCACATGCTTGTCCGAAGGAAAGAGGGCCATATTTGACAACACAGATGACACCTTCCATGTTACTTAACCAAATCAGGCTTGTTCATTTTTGTTTTGAAAGAAAGTCTTAACAATATAGAATTTGCATGCACTTCACCCAAATGATGTGTACAAGCCAGTGGCTTTCAGCATACTGGCAGAGTTGTACAGCCACCACCAAGTTCAAAATATTTTCATCACCCTATTCTGGATGGTTCATATAAAGAGTTAGATAGAATGAAGCCTTTGTGTATGGCTGTCACTGGTCATGATGCTTTCAAGGTTTTTCCACATTACACTGTATATCAGTACTTACTCCTTTTCTTCATATATATGCCATATGGGGGGGATTTATGTGTGCTAGGCAATAATGTTACCACTGAGCTATACCTTCAGTCTCCACAATATATTCATCCTAACATATTGAAAGGCATCCACTAGCCCTGTGTGGTACCACATGCCTTTAATGCCAGCATTTGTGAGACAAAGATAGGCAGATTCCAAGCCAGCAAGGGTTATATAGAAGACCCTGGCCTAAAAGAAATCTAAGGTGTCTATTATATAAACATAAAATGTTTGATGGGCATTTAGGCTATTTCCACTTTTTGGTCCTTGTGGCTAATGCCGCTTATGTACCTACAAGCTGCTGTGAGGCTGTTTTCATTTCTCTTGGGTATGCACCTAGGAGTGGGTTTGCTGTTTTAACTTTTGAGACAAATGGCAGGCTGTTTTCCAAAGTGGCCTTCCTTAGGCCTGGAGGTTGTAACTATGTAGTTCAAGGCCAGAGTTCAATCTCCAACAACATGTACACACACACCTCAGAAAGACAAAGTGGCCACATCAATTTGTGCTCCCACCACTGAGGTGGAATAAGATAGGAAAGACCAATTATTAATATAGTTTTTTTTTTTTAGTGATTTACTTGAAGCATTGCTTGTATTGCTGAGGCATTCCCTCGCTGGTGTTAGAATCTACTTTTTCTGGATTCTGACTATGCTGAAGACCAGCTGAGCCCTCCAGCCTTGTGGGCTGAACAACTATTGGATTCTTGAACTTTTCATTAGGAGACAGTCATTGTTGGACTAACTGGACCACAGCCTGTAAGCCACTCTAACTGTATGTGTGTCTACATGTAAATATGTATGTGTGTGTGTGTGTGTGTGTGTGTGTGTATGTATATATATATTCTTTTTTTTTTTGAGACAGGGTTTCTCTAGGCTGTCCTGGAGCTACCTCTTGTAGACCAGGCTGGTATCCAACACAAAGAAATCCACCTGCCTCTGCCTACCGAGTGCTGGGATTAAAGTAGTGTGCCAACACCACCGGCTTATACATATATATTCTATTAGTTCTATTCCTCTAGAGAACCCTGACAAATACAATACTCTTTTCGATTGCTTCTTCTTTGTCCCTATAATCAGAAATGAGTAGCCACCTGACTTCAACACCAGCCCCGAGTTGCTAGATAAACCCTGTATGTGAGCCATTTCATTTTTAAACTACTGTCACTATAGCTTGGCCTATGCTAATATAGAGGCCCTAATCAGCAAGGGTTTGTGGGGGATCTGTTTCTGTTTATATTCTTGAAATAAAGTTTGCTGACTTTATTTTGGTTCAAATTGTTTTCTTCTAATTATCAGTTTTGCTTTTTGTTTGTTTGTTTGTTTTGGTTTTTCGAGATAGGGTTTCTCTATGGCTTTGGAGGCTGTCCTAAAACTAGCTCTTGTAGACCAAGATGGTCTCAAAGATCCACCTGCCTCTACCTCTTGAGTGCTGGGATTAAAGGCGTGAGCTACTACTGCCCGGCTCAGTTTTGCTTTTGTCTGTAGGTGCTGCCATTTATCTCTATCCCAGCGTTTACAGGGCCAGGGCAAGAATACAAATAAAGGCCAGATTAATACTTGCTAAACATTTCAAAGTTATAATTCAAGAAAATTTACGTGAACAAAATCTCGACTTTCTTTTAAATATATGTGAATCTTCTCGCCTTGTAAAAACACAGCTATTCCTAAACTGGTGTTAAGAAGCCAGTTAGCTGGCATGTAAAGGATGCCTCTCAAGTCGGGTATGGTGACACATGCCTTTAATCCCAGCACTTGAGAGGCAAAGGCAGACAGACCTCTGTGAAACCAGGAGACAGCCTGGCTCACATGGAGAATTCCAAGTCAACCAGAGCTATGTAGTGAGACCCTGTCACAAAACTAAACAAAACCACCTCTTTGCGGCTTTATGCTCTAAGGCTACATTTACAATCGCGCCTTCCAGCGGTCAAGACCGACAGCACACGGTCAGCGCAGGGAGAAAGGCACAGTTGCCTCTTCCAGCCTGTCCCCTGGTACCAGCCATGGGCACACCACCAACGCGGTGCAATTAGCAGCCTACTCAAAGAGCTGCAGCCCTGCACCAACGACACTCCTCCCCACCTCACCCCACCCCGCTCACTGCATCTCCCCGTCAGTTCCTTCCGCTTCCGTCTCCTCCTAGCCTGGGATCTGGGGCGGAGCGATTGTGAAGGCGGGGCGATTCTGCGGGCCGGACTAGTGTCTCTACGCCATGGCGGCCTTGCGTGCTCTGCTACCCCGAGCTTGCAGCTCGCTGTTGTCCTCGGTCCGCTGTCCAGAACTCCGGCGCTTCGCCTCGGGTGAGTGCGAACACCGGCGGAGTCCGTCACCCCACTTTGGGTGGACTCTCCACCCGCAGCCTCCGGCTGGTCTCCAAACCCCAGCCTACACGCACCCTCTCTTGATCCTGGACCTTCTCTCCCAAGTCTCCATCTTCTGACTGACCTCCACTTCCACCAGCATGCACTTCCAACGCTGGGTTCTAGTACTCATCCGCTACACCTAAACTCAGATTCCTAACTTGAAGCTCCTCCCATTCTACCCCTCCTTCAGAGCCGCCACCTCCACTGCTCGCCTGACCCCTACCCAATTCCATACCCCTCTCAATTCTTGACTCCCTCAATCTGACCTTAGTCTAACCTTACAAGCCCAACCCGAGCCTACCACCTAGAAGCCCTGCCTATAGGAGGACCCTGGCTATAATGGCAGCTTCTCAACCCTAGAACTTTAGAGTCAGGACCTCTGGCCTGCTGGGAGCATGCATATTGGTTGTGAAACCCCATGTGCGTTTAGGTAGCTTTAAGAGAATGTGGAGGTAGGTTAAGCAAGACAGCCTGAGTATTGGGAAAGGTTTGTCTAGAGTGCCTCCTGTCCAGTCCCTCCTGTGTCCACTGCCCTCTCCTGAGCCTGTCCTTCACACCGTCCAATCAGCGTATCCCATACTGACACACCCACTTTCCTTCCCTGCCAGCTGGATAATCCCTCTCTTCTCACTCCTTGGCTGGGCTCTCCTGCAGCCATTTCTTGGCCATGCCCTGGGCCTAGGGCTTCTCAAGTTGGATTGGGTGTCATGTCCCAGCTCCCTAGAATGGCAGGCATCCTACAGTTTAACAGTGCACCTCACACTTAATCCACAAGACAAGCACTGTGCTAAAGAACAAAACACCCCGAACATGGACCCTCACTTTCGGGCTTATCTTCTGCCTCCTATGTCCATGGGCTGTTACCCCCCCCCAAGTCTGAATTGCCTACTCCTCTAGGTCACCTAATGGTGCTTTGCATTTGCCTCTGTCCCATCAGGCTTACTGCTCCAGCAGGCCTGGGCTCTGCCCTCCTTCCACCTCTGTGTCATGGTCTGGAAAGTGCTGGCATATGGGGGAGCGAAGCAGTGTGACTGTGTTCTGTGCTAGAATTTTCTTTTTTGTTATTTTCGTTTGTTTTTTGAGACAGGAAGGATCTTACTAGGTATCCCTTTGGCTGGCCTGGGACAAGATCAGGCTAGCCCGGAACTCAGAAAGATATACCTGCCCCAAGTGCTAGGATTAAAGGCATGTGCCACTGGCACCATGCCTGGGTAGATCATAGCCAGAGCTGCAGGCTGACATGTTGTGTAAAAGGGCAAACTGATAGGGTGAATGCATATTATATTTGCTAATATATAATATACATATATATTAAAAGGAGGTTAGTAGAGTGGCTTACAGGCTGTAGCCTGAGTAGTCCAACAATGACTGTCTCCTGACAAAGGCCAAGGATTCAATAGGCCTTTAGCCCGAGAGACTGGATTATTTCAGCTGTCCCAGTCTGGTTCTGGAGCCCAGGGAAGTCCTAGAAAGCTGAGGGTCTTCAGTGTACTTCAGTATTTCAGGAATCCTAAAGAAATAGGTTCACACACCAGAGAAGTAATGCCTTAAGAATACACTGGATGGGGGGCTGAAGAGATGGCTCAGAGGTCAAGAGCACTGATTGCTCTTCCAGAGGGCCTGGGTTCAATTCCCCGCAACCACATGGTGGCTCACAACCAGCCATTATGAAATCTGGTGCCTTCTTCTGGTGTGCAGATATACATGGAAGTAGAATGTTGTAAATAAAGTCTTAAAAAAAAAAAGAATACACTGGATGAGCTTGCCATTGAGAGTGAGGACAAGAAGACAAAAAGCAAAAGCTTCCTTCCATGTCCTTTTATGTAGGCTGCCATCAGAAGGTGTGGCCCAGGTTTAGGGTTGGGTCTTCTCAAGTGATCCAGCTAAGGAAATCCTCCATGGATAGCTCAAGCTGTTTGGGTTTTAGTTGATTCCACATGGGGTCTAGTTGACAACCAAGATTAGCCACATAGTGCCTTTACTATCTTTATGACGATGACGACGATCCCCTTTTGTCCTCTTGACCTAGGTGCTAACTTTCAGTACATCATCACAGAAAAGAAAGGAAAGAATAGCAGTGTGGGGCTGATCCAGTTGAACCGCCCCAAAGCACTCAATGCTCTTTGCAATGGCCTGATCGAGGAGCTCAACCAAGCCCTGGAGACCTTTGAGAATGATCCTGCTGTGGGGGCCATTGTGCTCACTGGTGGGGAGAAGGCATTTGCAGGTGTGCTGGGCAGCCATGGTGGTAGAGGGTACAGGGATGCTGTGGCCTGTGGGAAGCAGCAAAATGGACCAGTTTCTCTGTGATGGGAAGGGTGGCTTAGACTATACTAACATGTACAGTAATTGGGGCGCTGGAGGGATAGCTCAGTGGTTAGAACACTGGCTGCTCTTCCAGAGGATCCAGGTTCAATTCGCTGGAAAGATGGCTCAGTGGTTAGAACACTGGCTGCTCTTCCAGAGGATCCAGGTTCAATTCCCAGCACTAACATGGCAGCTCACATGTACAGTAAGCTGGGTGGAAGAGCAGTTCTGTGAGTTGAACATTCAGGTATGCTCAGGTCAGTACTGGTCAGGTGAAATAACTGGCATAAGCCCGGCCTCCTCTGAGTGTACCTGGCATCCATTGCCTGCCACAACCCCCAACATTACTTCTTATAACAGACAGCTTGGTGAGTTGTTGGCCCATGTATTAGCTGTTCCCACTGTTGTGTGAAGTACCCCCAGGCCCTGTGCAGAGGGATACAGGACTGAGAAGTTCTCTGATGTCTGGAAATTGAAGCCTCACTTCTGCCTCTAGCTGGAGCGGACATCAAGGAAATGCAGAACCAAACATTCCAGGACTGTTACTCCAGCAAGTTCCTGAGCCACTGGGACCAGATCACCCGGGTCAAGAAGCCCGTCATTGCAGCTGTCAATGGTTATGCTGTAAGTGTCAGCCCCAGAGGTCTCCTGTGCAAGGCGGAAGGGACTATGCTTGTGCAAATAAAGTATTGCAAAGATCTGTGTCTTTGAAAGGCCCATGGTGTCTTATGGTAACTGCTTTGTTTGATGGAGGCTCATTGGCTAATTTCCAGATGTGTTAATGAGCTTTTCTGTTTCTGTTTAATTGCTGCAGTGGCTATACAACATGTGTGAATACTCTGTGTGCCCACTAGGGTTCCTGCTTCACTAGGCCATTGAGAAAAGCAGGACTAGTTTAGCCCATGGAAAAACCATGTGATAATTATACATGCTGATTATTTAATAAAACCCATCCCTGGGGGGTGGTCAGCCACACACATTCTTGCCCTTATCCTCTCTAGCCAATTTTGAGTCACTTTGTTAGCCTGAGTTATTCACCACAAAGCCAAAAAGATTTATTGCCTGACCCTTTGCATAAAATTCTATAAGCCCCTGGTAAGCAACATCTCTCTTATATTTATCCTATCACTTTAATCTAGTTTTGTTCTGCTAGGTTAACATTTGCTTTATCTGACTGTTTCATGGTTTTAGAAAAGTTCTTTAAGCAAATAAAGCGATTTTCTGCCTTGGCACCCTCTGGTAAAATCCACCAGCTTATAAACTTTTTTTTTTTTTTGACAGCTTGGTGGGGGCTGTGAACTTGCCATGATGTGTGATATCATCTATGCTGGTGAGAAAGCCCAGTTTGGACAGCCAGAAATCCTGCTGGGGACCATCCCAGGTGAGAATGTGTCAGCCGTAACAAGACAAGCCTGAGTCTTCGCCCCATGGCTTGCATCCAACCACAGGCCCCATATGGACAGATCTTGTCTGTTCAGTTTTCTCTCTGCCAACCAGCATCTGAAAGACAGAGCATCTGCATCTCAGCCCAGTCTGCAAGCCCCAGGCAATACCACACAGAGTTGACACCGGCTTTTAGCTGCAGTGGTTTTTCCCTCATGATTCATATACCTTTAAAGAGTTTTGTACACCCAAAGCTTGGGAGAAAAATGACTTGCAAAAAAACCTCTGTCCCATGTGACTCTGGCTCTGTCCACTCCTGTGTCACTGGCGTAGCAGGTCAGGTAGCCTTCCTGAGTTCAGCATGTCAGACTACAGAATTCTCACTCCCCACTTCCTGGGAAAGCCCTGAGAAATGTTGAGAAAGCAATCCCATTGCTTTCCGGGGGCCACTGTTAGACCTGGCAGGAGAAGGTGAACACTCAGAGAGCACCTGAGCTCTTGGGGAGAGGACCACACTCAGAGGAGGCCTCCCCCGAAGCCTGGGTTTGATCAGTCTTCTGAGATCCTGGGCAGAGAGTGCAGCATATTTGTTCAGGTCTGCAGAGAAGGCGGCTGATGCTGGGATTCGGTCCAGCACATGCTTTCAGGGAGACCTAGAACCTTCCAGGATGGTGAGGAAAGAGCCAATCTGATTTTTCTTTCTTCCTTTTTAATGCTAAGAAGGATCCTGGAGCCTTGTGCATGCTAAACCTCTGTCACTGAGCTGCATCCAGACCTGGGTTTCTTCTGAATGTACTTGACAAAGAGCCAGCTGAGACCACAAATCTCTTCCTGTAGGTGCGGGGGGCACTCAGAGACTCACTCGTGCAGTTGGCAAGTCACTAGCCATGGAGATGGTCCTTACTGGTGATCGCATTTCGGCCCAGGATGCCAAGCAAGCAGGTGGGGTATCTGATGTTGTGAGCTGGGGAAGGCTCATCTGGTGTCCCCCTGAGTAACTGGCCTTGGAGCCCTAAGGTTCTGGCATTGGGTTTTATATTTTGAAATAAGTTATACACAAGAGAGTGACAACATATGTTCAGGTTACAAATAATAACATCTCTTCCCACTGCCCTTTGAAGGCCCTTAAAGGCCAACGCTTTCCCTGCCCTAGGCAGTGACCATAGACCTCAGGTTCTCTGTGCTGTTTGATCCTGAAAAGAGCATGGCCTGTGCAACACAGAGCTCAGGGACTGGAACCTGGCAGTGGAGAGCACAGAGTCACCCACTGCTGGGGATAGCCATCCCTTGATTAGGACCCGGAGGACCGGCCTCTTGTCACAGGGTTCCAAAGGAAGGGGACAACGATGTTTCTGTGTGCTATTCATACTTTTCATATTTTAGGTCTTGTAAGCAAGATTTTTCCTGTTGAAACACTGGTTGAAGAAGCCATCCAATGTGCAGAAAAAATTGCCAGCAATTCCAAAATTATAGTAGCAATGGCGAAAGAATCTGTGAATGCAGGTAGGGGTCTGCTGGGAAGAGAAATGGTAAGAGTCCACAGGACTGTGTAGATAGAGTTATGAGGTTCCAAATTACCTCACCCTGCCCCACCCAGCAATGGGAAAGTCCTCGGGATTACAATTTGCCATAGTGTTCCAGGTTTTGGTCACTCTGATGTCTGTCTCTTTTTATCAGGACCCAAGACTGGGCCAGGTCTGGGACATTATGGCAATGCAGTGTCAGGCACAGAGGAAAGACCAAGAAAGGAGCCACAGCCCCTGAAGTCACTGGTCTTTGGTTCAAGGGAAGGCTGCCTCTGGGAACCTGAATTGAATGGTTCCCTCAGCGCATGCTCCAGTTATGCAAATGGGCTGTAGCCTGGTGTCTGCAGTAGCACAGCTCCTATGAAGCATCTTCATCAGTTCTCTCAGCTCATGAAGCTGGCCTGACTTGCCTTCCTCAGAGCTGCCTCATCCTCTTCTTCTCTTTAAATGTACTCATTTATTTATTACTTTATTTCACATTTTGATTTACTGTGGGGGTATCCCACAGTGCACATGTGGAGGTCAGGGAATAATTTAGGGAGTAAGTTGTCTCCTTCACCATATGGGTTCCAGAGATTGAATTCCAGTTGTTGTTAGGCTTGGCAGTGAGGGCCTTTACCCACTGAGCTCTCCAGCTGAGCCTTTTGTTTGGATTGTGAGGCAAGGTCTTATTCTATAATTGAAGCTGTCCTCAAATTCTGGATCACCTGCCTCAGCGCTAGGACTATAGGCATGTATCACCACACCTGGCTTGGAGTCTTTTTTTTAAATATATATATGTTATTTATTAATGTGTGTGAATTTACATATATGTGTGTATGTATGTGGGAATGTGTACCTTTCACATGTGGAGGCTTTTGTGGGTCTGGTGTTGTTCAGAGAGCCACCTGTCTGACTCAAGTTTTAATTTTAGTAAATTAGAGGCTTTTTAATAAAAAGAGACCAATCCTGAGAGAATTCTGAAGGTAAGGGCTGATTTTGTAACAGACATCCAGCAGGTACCTCAGCCATCCAAGTAAGCAAGCATTTCATGCAAAACCAAAACTTAGTAGTTAGCATGTTTAATCCTGTTACCCATTGCCTTGTAGGAATAGCTGAGGCAGTGAAAGATTTTGCAACAATCGGCAATTTTTTAAGCATAGCCCAACTGCACCAGGAAGTGGTCCATCTCGGGCCAGCTGACAAGGTACATTCAAAGTAGGAGCAACTTCCTCATGGCTTGTACAAGTCAAAAAGCAATGTTGTTTTTACAAGCCAAGCACAGTAAATTTATCCTCTAAACTGGATGTTCAGCATCACAGAGGCCAGCAGAGGGCATCAGATCTCTTAGAGCTGGAGTTACAAGGATTTGTGGGATACCCAGCATGTTAAATAGGTACAAAGACCTGGGTGGAGCTTTTGTGGTATTTTAAAGATTTTATTTTATTTTATGTGTATGAGTGTTTGGCTGCATATGCGTATGTACATCACATGTGTGCTGTGGAAAACAGGGGACCCCTTGGAACTGGAATTACAGAGACAGTTGTAAGCCTCCCTGGCTTCTAGAAAGGGAACCCAGGTTCTCTGCAAAAACACAAGTGCTCTTAGCCACTGAATCATCTCTCCAGCCCCAGGTATGGAGTCTTGATGTAATAATTTATCTCAGCACTTGGAATGGCACTTCCAAGTTTCTGCTCAATGTCACACATAGAGGCACCTTGGGGGCAAAAGATGTGACCTAGAAAGGTTGTTGCTACCTCCAGAGGGGACACCAGCCCTTCAGGGTTGTTGCTGGCCATAATCAGATGTGTTAATGTTTAAAGACCCACACAGCAAGCAACTGAGGGTTCTGGCAAGATCACAGTGGCAGGCAGAGTCACAGCTCAGGTCTTCCACATCAGTGTTCCACTAGACAATGCTCTGCACACTGCAATGTACTGCTCCTGCTGCCTAGCCATTCTCTTCTGTTTTTCATGCTTTACTGTGCTTCTGTGTTCAGTTTTATCAGCCACCTCAGGTCCCCCTGGCTGAGAAGATTCTGCTGTTTGTCCTTTGTTCACTTCTGGTGCTTTTCCCTTCTGGGGACCCTGGACCACCACCAAGGTGTTTAGGAGACCTGGGAGAGCAATTTGTTTCCATGGCAACCTCAACATGGGCCATGCACTTGAAAAGTGGGGAGAGCTGAATCAGCATGGAGGCCACACAGCCTGTAGCCCTTTCTGTGGATCACAGTCTGTTCAACATGGGCACCACCCCCCCCCCACCCCGCATTCAGCACTTCGGTTGGTGACTCCAGGGCTTCTTTTTCAGCCTTTGAAATGACGTTAACAGAAGGAAATAAGCTGGAGAAGAAGCTCTTCTATTCTACCTTTGCAACTGTGAGTAACAAGTATTCTACTTGGTATTCAAGTTCATTTCTGTTGCAGAAGCTGCAGAGAATTTATTACTGCCAAAAAAAAAAAAAAAAAAAAAAAAAAAAAACACCAACAGCAGCTTCTGTAGTATTTAAAGTGGAGTTCATAGCTGGGCACAGTAGTTCCAAAACTTAGGAGCCAGGGGACAAGGAGAATTGCTTGAGCCCAGGAGTTTGAGACCAGCCTATGCAACAGAGAAACCATCTCTAAATATTATTTATTCTATATGTATAAGTGTTTCACCTACATGTATGTAAATGTATACTGTATGTATGCCTGGTGCCTGCAGAGACCAGAAAGGTACACTGGATACCTTGGAAATGAAGTTACATACTGTGAGCCACCATATAAGTATTGGGAACCAAACCCAGATCCTATTTAAGAGTAGCAAGTGCTTTTAACTCTAACTACCCCTATCCCCTATTCATTTTTATTTTATTTTGTTTGTTTGTTTGTTTGTTTGTTTGTGAGACAGGGTCTCATTATGTAGCCCTAGCTAGCCTGGAACTCATTATTGAGACCAGACTTGCCTTGAACTCACACATCTCTGCCTGCCCTAGCCTCCTGCATGCTGAGATTGAAGGAGTGTGGCACCATACTTGCTGTAGTTCACCTCATATCAGAAGCTCAGGTCTAGGTGTTTTAATGAATCTTCTAATCATCAGATTCATTATCCATTACACCATAGGCCCAGTGCCAAGTGCTTTCTTTAAACATACATACATACATACATACATACATACATACACACACACACACACACACACACACACACACACACACACACACATTTGAAA